GAGCATACGGCGCGTAGCGTTCCGAGCGCGCCTCAAAGAGCCATCAGACCACCACAGATCCCCAATAGGGCCGATGCCGATTCGGAGTCGCGGAGAACCTAACGGGTAACCGGGGCTCCGGCTCGACGTGCAGGAGAAGGAACGGGGTGGTTTTTAGTCAGTAAGAGTCTGACTCTCCCTCCCGCCTCACCCAGGTGGGGGCAGTCATTCGATGATTTTCCCCCCTTAAAAAAAACCGTACTAAACGTATTTTAAATTGAAAACTAGGTCCTGACATGGATCGTTAAAAGAAGTTCACTTCTGTTATTGCTTAGGAGATACAGGAAAAAGAAACAAAGAACATTTTGGGAAGATAAGATTTTGATGCCCGATGCGAATCAATTCGCAAGTTCTTGCGATGCGTAGAGGGAGCTCGCACATTTTTGCGATGTGACGTCGCATCGCAGTATTGTATACAAGCCCTTAAGGCCCCGACTTGGGCATAATATTCGTCACTAATTACACTGCCGATGATATGACAAGTGCGTAATATTGCGGAAAAACCACTGCACCGTCTGGCTGGCGATTCAGTATTTAATGGCATTTTTAACCGACTTCTAAAAGAGGAGGTTCTCAGTTTGACCTGTATGTATGAATGTTTGTATGTTTGTGCGCAATTATCTCGCGATTGTCTGAATGGATTTTGATGCAGTTTTTAGAAAACTGTTTGTTACACTTAAGATAGGGTTTCAGTATATTAATTATCTGACTTTAAAAAAGAGGGGGTTGAAGTCGGTTTTTAAAAGTTTATATAAGAAACTAGCAAACCCGGCGAACTCCGTTTCGCCACCAGATGGCTTCGTTTTATGTAGAGATGAAGAATTTTTTTTTGTTTTATATTTTATAATCCTCACGGAGTCCGGAAATCGGTTCGTGAGCTCTGGAGTTATAGCGTCAGGAAGGAAAACCCGACTTATTTTTATTATAAGAAATATTTTAGTTGAAAACATTATCCACTGACTTCTCCCACCTTGAGTGAGGCAGGAGGGAGTGTCAGACTCTTACTGACTAAAAACCACCCCGTTCCTTCTCCTGCACTTCGAGCCGGAGCCCCGGCAACCTGTTAAGTCTTTCGCGGCTCCGTATCGGCATTATCTATGCCCTATGCCGGATCTGTGGTGGTCTGATGGCTCTTTGAGGCGCGCGCGGAAAGCGACGCGCCGTACGCTCGGGTCTGGTACTGGTCGGACGGCGAGTCACCCATGCGCGCCGTCCGCAGGCCCGCGCTTACGGTGGCCGGAGATCGTCTTGCGATCCCCGACGCCCGGTGTGTCTCTCGCGACGGCGCTGGCGTGAGCAGGTTCGTTTCCTACTGATGTAATGTGTGTGGTAGTCTCTTAGGTGCATTTTTTTCCGTCAATGTGCTGCCGTTACATTTGCCTATGTTATATAATAGGTGTTTACCTATGAAATTGCAGTTTTGTTTGTACATGTAAAATTTAATTATTATTTTCCAAATCTTTTTATTCAAGTACATAATCAAGTATTTATTGCATCCATAATGTACATATACATAACATAACATCACGCCTATTATCTCCGAAGGGGTAGGCAGAGGTGCACATAAAAGTAACACCCACTTTTCCCTATTTATATTTGAGTCCCACGTAATAGGGGGTGCGCCTATTTCCATATACCGGGCACATTTCCAGACTCCGTGCTACTACTGAGATTTTTTAAGCCCAGTAATACTTTGCCCGATCCGGGAATCGAACCCGACACCCCTTGCCAGGCAGTCGCACTTGCGACCACACGGCCAACGAGGCAAGTCAGCTCCACTCAACTATTATCAAAAATTAATCTTGGTCCAACATTCTTTGATTTTGGATTGGTCTTTGATTTCAACTGTTAGTCGGGTATACGACACCCACCGGAAGAGTAGGGGTGGTATACAATTGTATACTTCTCTGTCAAATATAATACTTTTTCCCAGTTATGTTATGTTATATTATAATGTAATCTCAATATTAATCTAAATAATGTTTAAATGACGAATTTAAGAAAACGTGCGGATCAATGACAAACACAACGCTTACTTATACAAATATCACTCTTATGTCAAAGAAATAAAGTTTAAAATTAAACATCAGTGTACATTTTCTAAGGACGAGTATGCACGTGATTTTTAACCTTTGATTTTGGCTGAATATACATTTTTCATGTATATGTTATATATAAACATAGTTAGCGCGTCTGTATGTATGTGTCTATATGCAATCTTGCATTTTGTAAGAATAACTGTGTCAAATGGTACGGATAAGTTTTGAATGGAGTACTATGATAGCAAGGTGTGTGAAAGAGATGGGGATATAAGCAAAAAAAGTTGATAATGCTTTGTTTTACTTTAAAGTTTGATATTTGACTGCACGGTTGGTGCTGTGGCTGGGCAACCGGCTGCCGTGCAACGTGTCGCGGGTTCAATTCCCGCACGGAACAACGCTTTGTGTGATCCAGAAACTGTTGTTCCGGGTCTGGGTGTCATTGTGTATGTGAACTTGTATGTTTGTAAACGCACCCACGACACAGGAGAAAATGCTAATGTGGGGCAATGTTTTCTTTTAAATTACTTTTAATATAATTTTTGTAAGAGGTATGCTTGGTTTTTTATATGACTAAGAAGCAGGTGTATCACCAATCAGGCAATCAGCGTTGAATAAACAATCAGTATTGCTCACAACACCGAAAGAGTCACAAGTGTTTGTTATTGATGATTTCCCAAAGGTTCATTTCTAACTTAAAAAATATTATCTCTAAGTAATAACTACAACATTTGTTTACTACTTCGACGTTATGATAAAATAACACATAACATAACACCACGCCTTTTATCCCCGAAGGGGTAGGCAGAGGTACACATTATGCCACTGTACAATATGCAACACCCACTTTTCACTAATTATGTTATGAGTCCCATGTATTAGGGGGTGAGCCTATTGCCATATATCGGGCACAATTCCAGACTCCGTGCTACTATTGAGATTTTTTTTAAAACCTAGTAATACTTTGCCTGACCCAGGAATCGAACCCAAGACCCCTTGCCCGGCAGTCGCACTTGCGACCACTCGGCCAACGAGGCAGTCATGATAAAATATAATGACATAAATACAACACATAAGTGAAACCGCGAGCAAAACATATACACTAGAAAAAATGCTAAGATACAATAAGAAAGCCGAAATGTTACGAAGTAATTTGCCGAATTGACATTACAAATTATCATATTTCACACGTCTCGTCGTTATTGCGATCACGTGTTCTCTTTCACACATTGAATTAACACTCCATTCATATTTCAATCTATGTACCGTCTGTACCATTCCATATTATATTTTTTTCTCAATACCCACCATCAGTGTTATTTTACTGACTTGGCTCACTAGTACGTGATTTAAAATACAAATGTGTAAAATAATATTAAAAGATTAACAGATAGAAAGACATTTTTATATTTACTGTTAATTGTCTGACTTTCATAAGTAATTGATTTGACTTTGACATCGATTTGTGTGTTCCTAAGTGTCGGGTGTTCGATCTTTGTGACCAGAAGTTAAGTAGTAAGTATTAAGAAGTAAGTTTGTAAGTATTAGAACCTAACGGGTTACCGGGGCTGCGGCTCGAAGTGCTGTAGTAGGAACGAGGTGGTTTTTAGTCAGTAAGAGTCTGACACTCCCTCTCGCCTCACCCAGGCGACAGAAGTCATTTGATGATTTTCCTCCTCTTATAAAAAAAGTGGTATAATTTTATTATCCCGAGCGTACGGCGCGTCGCGTTCCGCTCGCGCCTCAAAGAGCCATACTACCACGGATGGGCCTGATATCGATACGGAGCCGCGGAGAACCTAACGGTTTACTAGGGCTCCGGCTCGAAAGTGCAGGAGTAGGAACGGGGTGGTTTTTAGTCAGTAAGAGTCTGACACTCCCTCCCGCCTCACCCAGGCGGGAGAAGTCATTCGATGATTTTTCGTAAACTATAAATTCGTCGGCTTATGTTATTCAATAACACAACTGAGGGTCAAGCACGAATAACTATCGCATTCGTATCGTAACAGTATCGAGCGAGTTAAGTGCCGAACGCGCTCGATACTATTACGTTACGAATGCGATAGTTATTCGTGATTGGCACTCAGGACTGTGATACGCATACGTATGTATACTAGACAATTTTTTAAAGGACGTATTGTTTTCCTAACATTGAGATTATTTAACATGACTGTTTAAAGTAACATCCAAGTATTATATGTTACCTTCGTCTAACCTTTGTTTACATTATTTTATATTTTATCAAATATTAGCTTCTGCCCGCGACTACTTTATGATTTTCGATAAAAAGTAAACAAAAAGTATTGAATAAAAAGTATCCTATGTCTTTCTCCTGGTTCTAAGCTACCTTTACACCTATTTCCATCCAAATCGATTTAGCTATTCTTTAGTAATAAATAGTTTACCTAACACGACTTTCTTTTATATGTATACAAATTTGATTGAAAAAGAATAAACTATGGAGTTTCTTGCTCGGTCTTCTCCATAGGAATCTACACCTTGGAATGAGCAACAAGCTTTTAATTTTTTACTGATGTTAAAAACTTCAAATAAATGACTTTGACTTTAAAACTAAAGAGTTTATTTATTTGGACGTGCTAATCTCAGAAACTAGGATAGTCCATTTATCGAGGAAGACTATAGGTTATAAAACATCACAATATGATCAATAGGAGCCTAGCAAAGCGAATGAAATCACGTGGAAGTAGTTAGTGGTATATTTTGCAACCTTCGTTCAAAAATGAAAGCCTTACCTAGCTCCTATGTCGTGGGATACTTGCTAAAGCTATAGATGGCTATACTCTATCTTACATAGTTCTTTAGCTTCCATCACATTCATACATCGAATGGTATACAGAAACTACAGAGCGCCACCTACTACGCTCCTTACTTACTTCTTTAGTTTCAGGATCCTCAAAAACCATGGATCCGGCGTTAGCAGTGGAACTGGAGGCTCTGTCTCGGCAGAAGGCACTGTTTGAGGCTACTGAACGAGGTGACTCCACAATCCAGCAGTTCTATAAAGACAGCACTGTGTTCCTGACTGGAGCCTCAGGGTTCCTGGGCAAGCAGCTCATGGAAAAACTCTTTAGGTAAGGATCTTTTGTGACTGGACATCTACACTACATGAGCTGCTGTTTACATGTGAACATTAGCTCATGACGATACCTAAGTACATGTGTCGCCTGGACAGTCAACCTCGCTACATCCTTGTTGACTGGACATCTACACTACATGAGCTGCTGTTTACATGTGAACATTAGCTCATGACGATACCTAAGTACGTGTGTCGCCTGGACAGTCAACCTCGCTACATCCTTGTTGACTGGACATCTACACTACATGAGCTGCTGTTTACATGTGAACATTAGCTCATGACGATACCTAAGTACGTGTGTCGCCTGGACAGTCAACCTCGCTACATCCTTGTTGACTGGACATCTACACTACATGAGCTGCTGTTTACATGTGAACATTAGCTCATGACGATACCTAAGTACGTGTGTCGCCTGGACAGTCAACCTCGCTACATCCTTGTTGACTGGACATCTACACTATATGAGCTGCTGTTTACATGTGAACATTAGCTCATGACGATACCTAAGTACGTGTGTCGCCTGGACAGTCAACCTCGCTACATCCTTTTTAACTGGACATCTACACTACATGAGCTGCTGTTTACATGTGAACATTAGCTCATGACGATACCTAAGTACGTGTGTCGCCTGGACAGTCAACCTCGCTACATCCTTGTTGACTGGACATCTACACTACATGAGCTGCTGTTTACATGTGAACATTAGCTCATGACGATACCTAAGTACGTGTGTCGCCTGGACAGTCAACCTCGCTACATCCTTGTTGACTGGACATCTACACTACATGAGCTGCTGTTTACATGTGAACATTAGCTCATGACGATACCTAAGTACGTGTGTCGCCTGGACAGTCAACCTCGCTACATCCTTGTTGACTGGACATCTACACTACATGAGCTGCTGTTTACATGTGAACATTAGCTCATGACGATACCTAAGTACGTGTGTCGCCTGGACAGTCAACCTCGCTACATCCTTGTTGACTGGACATCTACACTATATGAGCTGCTGTTTACATGTGAACATTAGCTCATGACGATACCTAAGTACGTGTGTCGCCTGGACAGTCAACCTCGCTACATCCTTTTTAACTGGACATCTACACTACATGAGCTGCTGTTTACATGTGAACATTAGCTCATGACGATACCTAAGTACGTGTGTCGCCTGGACAGTCAACCTCGCTACATCCTTGTTGACTGGACATCTACACTACATGAGCTGCTGTTTACATGTGAACATTAGCTCATGACGATACCTAAGTACGTGTGTCGCCTGGACAGTCAACCTCGCTACATCCTTGTTGACTGGACATCTACACTACATGAGCTGCTGTTTACATGTGAACATTAGCTCATGACGATACCTAAGTACGTGTGTCGCCTGGACAGTCAACCTCGCTACATCCTTTTTAACTGGACATCTACACTACATGAGCTGCTGTTTACATGTGAACATTAGCTCATGACGATACCTAAGTACGTGTGTCGCCTGGACAGTCAACCTCGCTACATCCTTGTTGACTGGACATCTACACTACATGAGCTGCTGTTTACATGAGAACATTAGCTCATGACGATACCTAAGTACGTGTGTCGCCTGGACAGTCAACCTCGCTACATCCTTGTTGACTGGACATCTACACTACATGAGCTGCTGTTTACATGTGAACATTAGCTCATGACGATACCTAAGTACGTGTGTCGCCTGGACAGTCAACCTCGCTACATCCTTGTTGACTGGACATCTACACTACATGAGCTGCTGTTTACATGTGAACATTAGCTCATGACGATACCTAAGTACGTGTGTCGCCTGGACAGTCAACCTCGCTACATCCTTTTTAACTGGACATCTACACTACATGAGCTGCTGTTTACATGTGAACATTAGCTCATGACGATACCTAAGTACGTGTGTCGCCTGGACAGTCAACCTCGCTACATCCTTGTTGACTGGACATCTACACTACATGAGCTGCTGTTTACATGAGAACATTAGCTCATGACGATACCTAAGTACGTGTGTCGCCTGGACAGTCAACCTCGCTACATCCTTGTTGACTGGACATCTACACTACATGAGCTGCTGTTTACATGTGAACATTAGCTCATGACGATACCTAAGTACGTGTGTCGCCTGGACAGTCAACCTCGCTACATCCTTGTTGACTGGACATCTACACTACATGAGCTGCTGTTTACATGTGAACATTAGCTCATGACGATACCTAAGTACGTGTGTCGCCTGGACAGTCAACGTCGCTACATCCTTGTTGACTGGACATCTACACTACATGAGCTGCTGTTTACATGTGAACATTAGCTCATGACGATACCTAAGTACGTGTGTCGCCTGGACAGTCAACGTCGCTACATCCTTGTTGACTGGACATCTACACTACATGAGCTGCTGTTTACATGTGAACATTAGCTCATGACGATACCTAAGTACGTGTGTCGCCTGGATAGTCAACCTCGCTACATCCTTGTTGACTGGACATCTACACTACATGAGCTGCTGTTTACATGTGAACATTAGCTCATGACGATACCTAAGTACGTGTGTCGCCTGGACAGTCAACCTCGCTACATCCTTGTTGACTGGACATCTACACTACATGAGCTGCTGTTTACATGTGAACATTAGCTCATGACGATACCTAAGTACGTGTGTCGCCTGGACAGTCAACCTCGCTACATCCTTTTTGACAAGATAAGAGCTGTTGTATACTGAAATATGTTAACATTTCAGGGCCTGTAATATTCGGAAGATCTTCATTCTGCTTCGACCGAAGAAAAATATGACAATTCAAGAAAGACTTGAGGAAATGTTGCAGGATCCTGTGAGTAGAATAATTTTAAATGATTAATATTTACCAATACAAGTGCTTTGAACAATGATGTGTATGAGAAAGGAGTTTGTGATGTGATGACGTCTGATAGGGGAGATTGGAAGAAGACATAATATAAGGACCATACAGATAAGGATAGTAAGAAGAAAAACATAGACGCGTTCATAATTTCTCTGTTCTGGTCTTCTAAAGATTTCCTTCTTAATTCTAGGTTTTCAGTCTTGTGAAAAAGAAGAAGCCGGACTTCGCAAAGAATATAGTGCCGGTAAAAGGTGACGTGGCCGATATAAAGCTCGGCCTTAGTGATACGGACTGGACTATGATCACAAGTGAGGTAATTTGACATAACAAAATGACTTTTTAATATGGTTTAATATGGACTGCCTCGTTCGCCGAGTGATCGCAAGTGCGACTGCCGGGTCTCGGGTTCGATTCCAGGGTCGGGCAAAGTATTAATGGGTTTTTAAAAAATTCTTAATAGTAGCACGGAGTCTGGAATTGTGCCCGGTATATGGCAATAAGCTCACCCCCTATTACATGGGACTCATAACATAAATAGTGAAAAGTCGGTGTTACATGTACAGTGGCATTATGTGCACCTCTGCCTATAATATTCGGGGATAAAAGGCGTGATGTTATGTTTTGTTTTTAATATGGGTTTTTTTTAAGGGGAGGAAATCGTTCAGTGTCTTCTCCCGCCCTGGGTGAGGCGAGGGAGTGTCCGAAGGTCACTGACTAAACACCACCCCGTTCCTACTTCTGCTTTGGTCCTAGTAAACGTGACGTCTATAAATTTTCAAAACGATAGACACTTTTTTACTATTATACTAGCTTCTGCCCGCGACTTCGTACACGCAATCCCGTTTCTCCCATTCCCGTAGGATTTTCAGGACTTTTTTCTGTCATAAGAACCTTCTCCTGACGATAACAATCACAACAAAAAAAAATCAGCCAAATCGGTCTAACTGTACTCAAGTTATGGCGTGACAACGGGAAACGGGTTTCATTTTTATATTATTACTAGCGGACCCGACAGTTCAGCTGTTTAGGATAATTAAGCTAGACATCGACTGCAGCGCCATCGATCTGCCGGGCTGATTTGTGAATCTAAACCATTCCCAGATCCCCTTGAACACACACAAAAAATTTCATGAAAATCGGTCCAGTCGTTTGAGAGAAGTTCAGTGACATACACACTCACAGAAGAATTATAAGTATATATAAAGAAGATAGATTTGATGGGCCGACGTTTGACCATTATTTCACGTAGTGGTAAGCGATGATGCAGTCTACGATGGAGCACTTCCAAAAGTTATAAGTCCCATGTAATAGGGGGTGAGACTATTGAGATAATACTGGGTACAATTCCAGACTCTGTGCTACTACTGAGAATTTACATACAAATCGATTTACCGTGTGGGTTCCCAATATCCTCTCATTATGAAGAGCCAGCAATGTACTAGTAACGCCTCTAGTGTTATGGATGTCCATGGGCGACGCTGATTGCTTACCATCAGGTGATCTGTCTGCTCATTTGCAGACGTACGCCACCAAAAAAACTATTTATTTATTTATTTATTTATGTACACACATTCAACACAGAGGACAATACATAAATAAAAACAGAGTACATAGGCCCCACATATTCCAACTGGAATTTCTTCCTGTGGGCCTGTGGCAGGAAAAGAAATAACAACACCGAGACACATAGTGTGTTACACAAACAAGATAAATATCAATTAAAAAAAAGTAATAATATCGAAGAAACCAATAGAAATAACAATAATAAACAATAAAACAAACTAATACAATACAATTATAAAAAAATAACCAATATATAAATATACCTACATATGTATAAATATGAACTACTAACTATATTACGACCAATGATTAATGGATGGTCATGCTCCGTTAATCCCCAGGTAGACGTAATATTCCACGTGGCAGCTACCACCAGGTTTGACGAGGCACTCCGTGTCTCCACAATGATCAATATCCGAGGTACCAGAGAAACTGTACTCTTGGGCAAAGACTGTCAGAAACTCAAGTAAGTATACTCTAAGATTATGTAAAATAGTAAAATACAATAAGACCACCGCTACTATTCCTGCGGGTGTAATATACCCGACTATATTGATTGAGACCAGACTGCAAGGCTTTTTGATATACTTGAACTATATTTTTAAATTGTATTCTCCAATTTTAAGAGGAGAGCCATGCTTCGTCATGAATGGCTCGGCCCGACCGGAGTCATCCCACGGCCTCACAGAAAACCGACGTGCAACAACGCTCACGTTGTGTTTCGTCGAGTGAGTGAGGTTACCGGAGGCCCAACTACCGTTACCCATTGATCGTAGCGTGATGTTTTGTAGTCTATAGCCTTTCTCGATAAATGCGCTATCCAACATAAAAAGAATTATTCAAATCAGACCAGTCGTTCCGGAGATAAGCGCGATGAAATAAACAAACAAATTCTTCAGCTGTATACAATAAAATGATCCAATTTGGACTACAAAATGTCTAATTCCAGATCCTTCGTGTACGTCTCCACAACATACTCCACAGCCACTCAGGCCAACGTGGACAAGGAAGTGATGGAGAGGTTCTACCCGTGTCCCCTGCCTCCGGAGCTGATGATAGACATGGCTGAGAACATTGACGATGAGCGAATGGAAGCTATCGAGGCCAAGTATGACAATTTCATTAGTGTTTTTATAATAACTATCGTGAAACATCCTAAATTAACTAACAATCGCGGGTTACTCACGTGAATATACTGAGAAAAGCCCCTGTACATGAGTCCACCGCCAACGCCACAGTAATACCACAGCCTCACAGAAGACCGACGTGAAACAACGCTTGCGTTGTGTTTCGACGTGTGAGTTAGGTTACCGGAGGCCCACTTACAATCCCCGTCCCCGACTCCCCAGTCTCCCAAATCCCCGAATACTTAACGATCCTCAAATTCCTAATCCCCAAAAGGCCGGTAATGCACCTTTTTTTAATGGGTCAAGCCCGCCATATCCTCCCAAAACCGCTGCAACTCCTGTAAGCCAGGATCTGCAGTAGATACAACCATGAAAACACCAGAACACTAAAGTCCGGCGCGTCCCAGGGACATGAACAACTGTCTTGGTTCTCGCAACGAAGTGAATCAGAAGATATTATAAAAAAGAAAAACAAAAAAGTGAGGTGTGATTGAAGTTGCCGGAGGCCTACTGCCTAGTAATTCATCCTAATTAATCCCTAAAATGACGGTAACGCACTTGTAACGCCACTGGTGTTCCACATGTCCATAGGCGACGCCGACTGATTACCATCAGGTCATCTGTCTGCTCGTTTGCCGGCTTGTCCCATAAAAAAATAAGTAATATTCTTTTGTTATCTTCCAGCCTGATCAAAGGGTTCCCCAATACCTACACGTTTACGAAGTCGATTGCTGAAGAAGTGGTCAGAAGCTTAGCTGGTGACATGCCTACTTGCATAATCAGGCCGGCAGTAGGTAAGTTATGAAAAAAAGAAATTCACATAGAATACCCATTAAAATCCCTCAAAAGGCCGGTAACGCACTTGCACCTCTGGTGGTCCAGGGTGCTTACTCTAGAAACCAATCTCAATGTCAATGCAATTTCAATATAACAAAATCTCAATAATTATTCAATGTCAACACTATACAACCACAATCGAAGCTGTTACAATAGCATTCAGAGTACGGAATATAAAGACAAGCTCAATACCATTTAGTTCATGAAATATCCACGCAATACGGATGCAATGGGTGCTAGTGTTGCAACTCAAGAGTACGAAATTTCACAATACCAATGTCGATCGATCGGAATTGAATTCAAGAGTAAGCCCCCAGGTGTCGACGCGGCGACGCCGATTGCTTACCATCAGGTGATCTATCTCGTTTAGATACAGATACAGTAATTGTTTTGTAATATTTCAGTGATATCTTCATACCGTGAGCCAGTACCAGGATGGGCAGATGCCAGCTGTGCTTTCGGAGCAAGTGGGGTAAGTAGATGTCCAGTCAACAAGGCAGTAGCGAGGTTGACTGTCCAGGCGACACACGTACTTAGATATCGTCATGAGCTAATGTTCACGTCTAAACAGCAGCTCGTGTAGTGTAGATGTCCAGTCAACAAGGATGTAGCGAGGTTGACTGTCCAGGCGACACACGTACTTAGGTATCGTCATGAGCTAATGTTCACATGTAAACAGCAGCTCATGTAGTGTAGATGTCCAGTCAACAAGGATGTAGCGAGGTTGACTGTCCAGGCGACACACGTACTTAGGTATCGTCATGAGCTCATGTTCACATGTAAACAGCAGCTCATGTAGTGTAGATGTCCAGTCAACAAGGATGTAGCGGTTGACTGTCCAGGCGACACACGTACTTAGGTATCGTCATGAGCTAATGTTCACATGTAAACAGCAGCTCATGTAGTGTAGATGTCCAGTCAACAAGGATGTAGCGAGGTTGACTGTCCAGGCGACACACGTACTTAGGTATCGTCATGAGCTAATGTTCACAAGTAAACAGCAGCTCATGTAGTGTAGATGTCCAGTCAACAAAGATGTAGCGAGGTTGACTGTCCAGGCGACACACGTACTTAGGTATCGTCATGAGCTAATGTTCACATGTAAACAGCAGCTCATGTAGTGTAGATGTCCAGTCAACAAGGATGTAGCGAGGTTGACTGTCCAGGCGACACACGTACTTAGGTATCGTCATGAGCTAATGTTCACATGTAAACAGCAGCTCATGGTAGTGTAGATGTCCAGTCAACAAGGATGTAGCGAGGTTGACTGTCCAGGCGACACACGTACTTAGGTATCGTCATGAGCTAATGTTCACATGTAAACAGCAGCTCATGTAGTGTAGATGTCCAGTCAACAAGGATGTAGCGAGGTTGACTGTCCAGGCGACACACGTACTTAGGTATCGTCATGAGCTAATGTTCACAAGTAAACAGCAGCTCATGTAGTGTAGATGTCCAGTCAACAAAGATGTAGCGAGGTTGACTGTCCAGGCGACACACGTACTTAGGTATCGTCATGAGCTAATGTTCACATGTAAACAGCAGCTCATGTAGTGTAGATGTCCAGTCAACAAGGATGTAGCGAGGTTGACTGTCCAGGCGACACACGTACTTAGGTATCGTCATGAGCTAATGTTCACATGTAAACAGCAGCTCATGGTAGTGTAGATGTCCAGTCAACAAGGATGTAGCGAGGTTGACTGTCCAGGCGACACACGTACTTAGGTATCGTCATGAGCTAATGTTCACATGTAAACAGCAGCTCATGTAGTGTAGATGTCCAGTCAACAAGGACTAACTTGACTGTCCTACTGAACTAATATTATTGCTTCTTGTTTCAGCTGATCCTAGGTCCAGCAACTGGTCTGATCCATGCGATATATGCTTCAAATGATGTGAAATTTAGTTTGGTGCCAGTAGACTATGTCAATAATGCTATATTAGTGGCTGGGTGGCACACAGCTACTGAGAAACCTCATGATGTTCAGATATATTCAGTTTCGAGCGCCAGGAATTTGTTTCATTGGGGTACGTTTGTGCTTTTATTGTTGAAAAGGAGAGGTGTTAAAATAACATAACATAACATCACGCAATTTATCCCCGAAGGTGTAGACAGAGGTGCACATTATGCCACTGTATAATGTAATGCCCACTTTTCACTGTTTATGTTATTGTCCCATTTAATAGGGGGTGAGCTATATACTGGGCACAATTCCAGACTCCGTGCTACTACTGAGGTTTTTTTAAAACCTATAATAATAATGCCCGACCCTGGAATCGAACCCCATCGTCCGGCAGTCGCACTTACGACCACTCGGCCAACGAGGCAGTCAAAATACTCGAGTGTTAAAATACCCCCTAAAATATTCTAATATTCAAACGACATTTAATTTTAAGATGCGCTCACAAATATTTCTGTAACTCCAAATGCTCTTAAATATGCAAAGATACTAGCTTTTGTCAGCGACTTTGTTCTTGAGACCTTGTTTGACGTTTGAGGCAACGTCTTAAAAAAAATTACAAAAAAAATCTCTTGATTAACAAATCAGAAATTCAGTTTTTTATATTTTTTTTCTATGTTATATTTTCAGAACCGATTTCTTCAAAGATCCGTGATATTGGCAAGGTCCTGCCTACCCCTCTAGCTGTGTGGTACACCTTTATAATAAACACATCCAATAAGCCGCTGTTTTTCATACTGACGTGGCTTTTGCATTACATTCCTGGTTATATACTCGATGCTGGTTGCTTTCTGCTTGGAAAACCGACGATGTAAGTTGAATTTTTTTATATTGGGTCAACGAATGGTAAACGTCACCTGATAGTAAGCAATCAGCGCCGGCACCCGTAACAGCAGGGGAGGTATACCTTCTTCTAATTTTGTTTCATACACAAAAACATATCAAGGGAAGTGGAAACCATTCCTTTTCTTCTCCTCTTATAATATCTTATGATTCATTTCGTTGCGGGAACCAAGACAGTTGTCCATGTCCCTGGAACGTTGGACTCCAGTGTTCCGGTATTGCATGGTTGTATCAGCTAGCTTATCCCACAAAATTTACTGGATTTACTGTAAAACCTGGCTTACAGGAGGTCCAGCGGTTTTGGGAGGTTGTGGCGGGCTTGTACCATTTAAAAAAGGAATGGATTTTGATAATATTATTCATTAGTAATCAAAACTTTTTGCTAATTAAAATAGGAAAACACGTAGCAAACGGATTACCTGATGTTAAGCAATTGGCGTGGCCCATGGAAAACTGGAACGCCAGGGGCGTTACAAGTGCAATATCGGCCTTTTGGAGATTAGGAGTTAGAGGATTATTTGGGATTCAGGGATTGGAGAGATTGGGGAAGAAGGGAGGGTAATTGGGCCTCCGATAACCTCCCTCACATGACGAAACACAATGCAAGCGTTGTTTCACGTGGATTTTCTGCTCGGCCGTGGTATCACTCCGGTTGAGCCGGTATTCGTGCCGAAGCATGGCTCTCTCGCACGATATATTCTCACTTTATTTCTGTTCTCAAACTTTCTTCAATTATTTATTTTTAAACGGTAAAATAATTGTAATGTCACCCCCTTCCTGACGACAGATCGATCTGATATTTGGTACACACTCTTTATCTTGATGACCATACAATATTATCTAATTGTTTCCACAACTACCTCCATTAAGTAAAAATCGTGGGTTACTCACGTGAATATACTGAGAAAAGCTCTACTAGTTTCGAACCACAGAGGGGTTCTTCCTCTGCGAGCTGCGCGACGTCGCCGCGACCGCGCAGCTCACAGAGGTTCTCAGTGTATTCACGTGAGTAACCCGCGTTTTTACTTAATTTAGTATGTCTCACGATAGTTATTATAAAAACAACTACCTCCATTATGGATATCAAACGATTGGTATAACAGACCCCATTAACATGAACAATATTTTGTGTATATTCTATATTAGTTTTTTTAATATTCCAGGTTCATAAAACTCTACAACAGAGTAAACAAGTCGTCCCTAGCCTTATCCTACTTCACGACTCACACGTGGTTATTTAACGACTCAAATACTGACAAACTATTCAATAGTCTATCAAAGACTGACAGATTAATATTTAATTTTGATACATCTGATATAAATATAACTGAATTTGTCACTTTATGGTGCGTTGGGCTGAGAAAATATTTAATGAAAGATGGTATAAGAAATACGGAATACGCAAGAAAGAAACAGTTTATATTGAAATATGTACATTATGTCGTATCATGTTTGTATATCTATGTCTTGTTTAAAATGTCGTGTTTTGTTTGTTATTTAATTCTGTGTTTGTTTGGATTTGTTTAAAATGTGTTTCATATAATTAAATGATTTATTAATTACGTATTTTTCTGGTGTTGTTTTATTTATTTCATAACATAACGCGTTTTAGCCCCGAAGAGGTAGGCAGAGATGCACATTACACTTAATGCCACTGTACCATGTAACACCCACTTTTCTCTATTTATATTATAAGTCCCATGTAATAGGGGGTGAGCCTATTGCCATATACCGGGCACAATTCCAAACTCCGTGCTACTAAAGCCCAGTAATACTTTGCCCGACCCGAGTATCGAACCCGAGATTTTTCAAAAAATAAAATAGTGATATTTTGATATTTCCTGGGAATTGGGCAATTTCCTAAATCAAAGATAAATTATTTCGACTGTTCAATATAATAACACATTAAAAATAATCACACGTTCACTAATTGATTTTATGATCAATTCAATTTTAGTATTTCTCCAGCAATTTTTTAAGAAATGCGTATGCTGTTTGTCGCTAAAAAACCTGACGTCACAATACACAATCTCGTACAAAATTCATAGAAAACTGTCGTTATTGAACGTTCGAACAAACGTATTGAATTTGACTAGTTTTCATGGTAAGTGTCCAATTTTGATGAATCTACTCTTAGCACTCACCAACACTCTAATTAGTTACAGCTCTGTAGTCTGTCTGTCAATCAGTCCCTGGTAACGGGAGTGTTTTATACAATCACATTAATTATTTGATTTTTTATTCTTCTTTGGCAACCGAGTCTCCGAAACGGTCAACTATACTGCCAGTGTCGAGTGGTGACGGTAAAATTAATGAACCGTCGAACTTAACTTTGCGGTAGTTTTTAGTTGTTAGTAGCTGAAATGACAAAACAATTGGGTTAGTAAACGTAGACATTATCAACTATTTTATTGTATATATACAGTGGTGTAAAAAATAGTTACAGATAGATATGAATAGATGTACACCATTTACATCATTGAACACCGTCATATTTTAATCTTATTTTCATTTATAAATAAATTTACATAAACAATTAATTAATTTGTAGGAAAAGTGGGTTAAAAGGAGGTGGAAACTGGTTGGGAGAGGGATTTGATTCTGGGAAGTTTTTTATAGAGGTCAAAGGATTGGGAATTTAAGGGACACGAAAAAAAGATGTGATCTAAAATTCCCTCATCAAGGCCGCATTCGCACAGCGAGCTGTCGCGGACGCGGATCTTGCTGAGGAAGACCGAATCATTTGATTGATTGATTCAACAAACAGAACCAACACCTACTTATCAAGTTGACCCTAAATTATCAAAATTATACAAAGGATATTCGAGTTTAATTACTTTGTATTTAAGTTAGTAATCGATTAAAGGATAGGGTAGCATGATGTGCTGGCAGTTATCCTTACTAATATTATAAATCGGAAAGTGAGTTTGTTTGTTCCACTTTCACGCCGTAAGTAGTTACGGCGTGACCAAAAATTCAAAAATTCAAACCGATTGCTTTGAATTTTTACAGACGTAAAGTTAGAAGTCCGGATTAAATAATAGGGTACTTTTTAACCCGGAAAATTTTTATATTCTCGAGGAAAAACAAAAGTATTGGTATAGGTGGCGCTGTATGTATTGGTATATGTCACATAGGCTGCTTTTTATCCTTTTGTGACGCGAGCGAAGCTGTGGGTAAAAGCTATATGTGGGTAAATATATCCGATAGTACATGTATATACATACAAACATGTGCTGTCAGTTATATTTAATTAAACCACAAGTTCTTACTGTATTTCTACTTAAGTTAAGGTACGTTTTTGCCACACTTAAAGGTCTGTTGACCTTGTCAATGGTTATGAAGATAACAGTACATTGTACATAGTACATAGGTTCATGGAACTTATTTTGATATTTTTATTACATTAAACTAATATCTATTATTAGATATTAATTTGTCTGGACTTTCAAACTCAAACTCAAAAGCATTTATTTCAATTAAACCTTAATTTTGTACTTTTGAAACGTCAACAAATATGAAATAAATAATAGTCTGTCAGTCTGTCCGTCAGTGAAGCTAGGCGCTCGTTCCAAAATGTCGATTCGAGTGGAGAAGAACGAGCAAGAAACTCCATTCGTTACTCTTTTAAAAAACGTCTGTTTTACATTGCTCTGATACATATTCCAATATTGTACACACATGTGAGAATAATGTAAAGACATACCTGACGCAACATACAAATAACAGAACGTACTAAAAAAAAAAAATTAAAATAAAATAAAAAAAAAAACCAAGAGAGTCTTAAGTCTGACATGGTCCTCACATATGTATACTGACAATCCATATAAAAGAGACAGACCTCTGAATTTGTTTCGGCATTTCTTCTCAGAGTAGTCAGTTAGGAAATGTCGGCCTCATCGTTCGCTTGATAAAATTGACGTGTAAAAGTGCTGCCTTGTAGCCTATTTGCAGAAATAAATTCACTTGTTTCACAATCAAATGGTGGACATTTCAGGTGATCGAAGGGCTGGCTACTACCTTGGGCAAAGGTTAAGCATTGCCATTCAACGTGGCAATGCTGCCAGTCTTTTGGGCACCCTACCTCACGATAGCGGTTTTAGTTATTTTTATTTCTAGTTGTATGTATTTATTCATAATTAAGTTATTTAAGGATATTATTTGAAAATAGATGATTTATATATTGTTATAGAAATATTATTAAGTAAATATTTCTTAAAAAATATCATTAACGCCTACAGATAATCTCATAGCAAGACTGAAATAAGTATAAATTGCTAATCACAATAGGGTAGATGCCTAATTTTTATTCTAATGTCCGTCTGGTAGATTATTTTAAATCATTACACACGTATTTTTTATTTTCTTACAGAAACGAATACTTTCGACGGTATATTGATTTGAAATGTCGCGTGACGTCACTTCTATGTACCTACATTTTATACGTAGAAATGACGTTTTAGCTACTCCTAAACTTTGATTCGTTATACTTATCTAATCCATCCCCTAAATTTGATCATACAAAAGAAGTCTCTAAACATTAGAAATAAGGTCTATAATGTAATGTAATATTAGTGGAGAGCGGTCTAAGTATCATTATATTATACATCAAAATAAAAATACGTGTCTAATATTTATTTTCATTATCTAACTGACGGACTAATTGCATTTTTATTTTTCATACCCTTGTCTACTACCCTATCGACCCATCAGTTTCTAATTAAAACATTTTCTCTTTATAAATATAGCAATATAGCAAATACGTAACTCATTGCTATTCCAAAAAATAAGGCGCAATCATTTCTATCTGATTTCTATTTCTTCCAAACCTTGTGGTAATAATTCAGAACCTTCCCACTTAAATTATAATTATAATACAAAAAGGTAATAATATGCCCTGACCCTGCCATCAAACCTGAGACCTTGGCTTTAACAGTATCATTAATAAATAATCGCTAAATAATCAATCTCACAAAAGGTGAGCCATTCGCTGAAATCAGTTATTTAAATTAATGTGATAGTGTTTCTATACATAACATAACATCACGCCTTTTATTCCCGTAGGGGTAGGCAGAGGTGTACATTACGGCACTTAATGCCACTGTACAATGTAACACCCACTTTTCTATTTATGTTATGAGGCCCATGTAATAGGAGGTGACCCTATTGCCATATACCGGGCATAATTCCAGACTCCATGCTTACTACTGAGATTTTTTTTAAAACCGAGTAATACTTTGCCCGACCCGGGAATCGAACCCGAGACCACTTGCCTGGCAGTCGCACTCTCGACCACAATAGAAATTAAACAATTAGGTATAATCATGTAGTTAAGAAGGTTAACAAACATTTATATGAAAACAACATCTAAATCGGTCCATTCAATCGTGAGATAGAAGTACTTACAAACTTTCGCATTTATTTACTCCTTTACGCTAGAGCGGCTGAAGGGATCAAGATGAAATTTGGAACAGATAGGATTCAATAACACATAGGCTACTTTATATCACACGGCAACGTGGACGAAGCCACTGACAGAATGTAGTGCATCTTATACCTATATTAATATCGTCATCAACAGCCTATACATTCCCACTGCTGATCAAAGCCTCTTCTCACGCGGAGAAGGTTTGAGCATTAACCACCACGCTTGCTCAATGCGGGTTGGCGATTACTAACTTACAATTAGAAATTATAAGCCCAGGTTTCCTCACGATGTTTTCCTTCACCGTTTGTCAGTGGTGTCTAGATAATCTTAGAAAGTACATACATATAACTCGGAAAAAGTCACATTGGTACTTGCCGTTGGTAGGTTTCGAGCTCGCAGCCTCATGCATGAGAAGCGGGCGTCTTAAGCCACCGGGCCACCACGACATTATAATTATTTATTCAATATTTATTTTTAGCCATGATCGTCCCACTGCAAGGCAAAGGCCTCCCTACCCTCCTTCCACTCCTCTCTATGTAAAGCTTTTTGCTTTTTGACATTATAATAGGCCTCTTTTATATATCTGGGTCAGTCAGATAATGATCCGAATTTATTTATAAAGTATTCATTAATTTAATGGCTAGCTGAATAAACATTATTTTAATAATAAACTGATGGTCAAACTCAACTATAAATTTTTTTTTGTTTTACGGGGGGAAAATCATCGAATGACTGCTCCCGCCTGAGTGAGGCGAGAGGGAGTGTCAGACTCTTACTGACTAAAAACCACCCCGTTCTTTCTCCTGCACGTCGAGCCGGAGCCCCGGTTACCCGTTAGGTTCTCCGCGACAACCAGACTATATACTAGGAGATAGATTATAACATAGTTAGAAGATGCTTTAGAAGTATCGTCCTTACTATAAAGGCATTAGGGGCTCGTGCCCTTTGGCCCCCATCCTCAAGAGGTCCCGAAGGCCTGATAATTTCTAAGACGGACACACATAAAGACTTCCTTTGGTACACGTTGTGCGGCAACCGGCTCCCCCACAATTTGTAGCGTTCGATTCCCGTAGGGAGCACATCGTTGTGTGATCCATAA